AAGATTTTCTGCAGCCCGAGGAGGATTTCGCGACAGTTGACGCTTTTCTTTTGAATGGCCCCGACAATTTTATTCCTCGCCCTTTTTTTCGTACTTTTTCTTATCGCCGCGAGTCCGTGCGTGCCATTCGAATAAAAACAGTGGTGCTGCCCCGAAGAGCGGGAGATGAGTTTTTCGTGTTCGACGCCACTATCCATAAACTTTGCAATTTAGAGTTCTTTGTTTCTTTCTGCGTTGTCTTTTTCTTTTTTTCTTTCGGCCGAGAGAAAGAAGAAGCCGCGCGCATGAATATTCCAGCGAATTCTTGCATTAATCCGGCATAACAAGGGAAAAATAAAAACCAGCAGGGCGCAATTTTCTGCAAATTTTCGTCCATAATAGTGAATATAAAAAAAGGACTTAGACAGAGCTTTTTCCCAACGTCTGATATGCAAAATTGATAGAGGTACGCATTTTAAAACCTCTTTACAGCTAATTATCCATTGTGCCTAGTCATCAAGTGGCAATTAGGAGAATCCAAGCAAGCCTGTTTACTGCTAGAAGTGCCTTGAGAGGAATAAATTTTCAAAATGAAAAAGATAGAAATTTTGTTAGCACAAAAATCACGACTAAATAAAATTTATAATAAATATTAAATTTAAATTACATTTATAGTTCAGAATTGAAATTATTGCGTCAAACAAAATTGAAATTAAAATTTCGACTGAAACATGAATTTACACCTAAATTTGAGATTAAATTTTCAACAATTTTAAATCCTTGAATAGATAATTATAAAGTTGATTAATATTTTAATTTCTTTACTGATCAAAATATTTCAAATTTAGTTTGCCTATAGGGCAAGTTTGTAATGAATTTAAATATTTACTTGGAATCTCATTTAATTTAGACATTGAAATACTTCATGGTTTTTTTTTATGACTTTTTTTACTTTTTATGTAGAATTTCAATTTTTAAAATTTTTATATCTTTTTAGATTGGTGGGCATTACTCGATTTCTTTTCAGCTTCTGAAGTAAATCAACCTGCCCACGGGGCATTTCACGCCAGACGCGCACCGAGCGTTGCCCAACTCACATTTTTAGTGCACAACGCGCGTTATCATTTATTTCTCATCCGAGAGCATATCTTCTCCGCTCGCTTAGGCACGGATTCGAAAAGCGTAAAAGGTGTGTAAAAGCAAAAGCTGTTAACTCTCGCATATGGGAGAGAAGCCAGCGACCGTGCATGAGTTGACAAAAAAGTTCCATCAGCATGATGTGTCGCTTCTTCTTTCGGTGCATTTCACTCTGGCTCAGTCGGTCGGTCGGACGGTATGTTTGAAAAATTTCATGCCTCTTTGAAGCCGAAAATTAGTCGCTGTTGGTAGAAATGGCAGAGAGGAAACCGCAGCCGTGCAGATTTGAAGAGCATCGCAAATTTGACTTGACGTTCAACAACATACCTTAAGGTTGTATAAAAATAATTAGCAAACTGATTTAAATTGAAACGGAAAAAATGGAAAGCAATTTTATGAAGAAAAAAAACTGTTTTTTTTTACAGTAGATTTTTGATAGTTTTTTTTTTACTGGTGATGAAATGAGCTCGATTAAATTTAATGGCCACGTAATTAATAAATAATTTTCATTTCCTCTCTCTCTTTCATCTATCTCTGGCTCTTTTCATCAAGAACGACTTTTAATTATCAAAAGCTCGCGCTTGACCCGCGGTGGGAGCCTCGGCGGTTAAACATTCCTTTTGTTCGCAACAATTAAAAGATGTTTCACCGGCCCTCTACCCTCGAGTGACTCTCTTTCTTATATTATTTTCTCGCTGACAATGCACAATGAGAAAAAGCTTCATGACTGACTGACTCACTTTGTGATGCACCATCGGTGGAGCTGGGTGGCTTTTTCAATTAGACCCACCGATGGCCGGTTTGAATATATGTATAAAAGCCACCCTTTCTTTCTTTCATCATATCTCAATAAGTGGCATGCTTTCCGACTTATCATGCATAATCCTTTAGAGGAGAAAAACCGAACGAAAGGAAACTCAACAGGCTCATGAGAGACGGGCGGGCGGGCATTCCTTTTCGTAGTTTAACCTTGGTCCATCGCAGACCGACTAAAAGGATACTTGATAAATGACTGTCGAGCCTTTTAAGCAGCATTTATAAAGGTTATTAATAAACCTCAAGAGTATGTATACCTGGTCAAAAGGGTCTCGGCTTTCCCACCTCGACGGCCAGATACATTCTGTGCCAACTTTGGGCCTAAAATTCTCACCAGTAGATTTTTCTAAATATTTTAAAACTTTTGTAATTTTCTTGTATTTTTTGTTATAAAAAAAAAATGAGCATAATTTTGCATATTTTTTTTTATACTTGCAATGAATGTTAGGCTAATATAATGGTTTTTTTTTAAATCTATTTATGCTTGAATTAAATTCTTAAGTAACTTACAGTTTTTCTATAAGTCTCTTCTTATTTCCTTGATCCGCCTTGATCTTCATCTATATAAACAGTTTCTCATTTCTTTCAAATTTTATATTCACAATTTTTAATTTTTATTTTAAAAATTCAGAATTAAAATAAAGCTTTAGAGATAACATTTTATTGATTTTTTTGCAAGAATTATGCTATTAATTATTAACTTTAATTATTATTAGAATATAAGAAACTTTAAGTTTTTACCAAAGCTTTTTCTTGTTTTAAAATTCCTAAATAGAGAAAACCTGCTGTCCGTAAACAATGGGAAAGCTATAAAGTCGGTGATTTTATCCATTTTTATTAATAAAATTCTTTCCATTTTTCAACTGCTGCGGTTAATTTACTCTTTTACGATTTTTTAAGCACAAAATTTTACGACTTGTTCTCTCTTAAATAAATCAAAGCTTTCCTGCCAAACAATTCATTACCTTCAAATTTTTATAGCTCTTTATTTCCTGTAAATCTACTCCCCGTCTGAGAATTTTATTGTCATCCGTTAAGCAAAGAGCATTTGATTAATATTTTTTCCCTTTCCGATTCACACCTTCTCCGCTCGGTCTTTTTAATTCGTCTCCAGCGGTGCACGACTGCGAAAATCGTGATTCGCACGCTCGCTTTTTGCGCCTCCCCGCCGTACCGAGCCATTCGCAATTGTCGAAGGCGCAAAAAACGGCCGCGAGAGAGGAAAATTATTTTATATACAACAACATTGTATGGCCGGGTCACCGCTCGACCGAGGAGACGAGACCGCCGCGAAAACATTCATGCATGCAGATCCTTGTTTTTGATAATGAGCTATGCACACACACTCATGGCATATTCGAATATGGAATCTCCTCCTCTTCCTCCCAGGTCGTGCCTCCCGCTCTTTCCGAACGAATTGTTTTATATTATATTTGTTTCTTCTTGATGGGTGGCGCGCATAACATTATAAACTAGAACGCGCCAGCTGCGCCCATACGCTTCTCATACAAACACTGCACGAAATTGAAATTTATAATATCGCTGGCAATTAGAGTGAGATCAGATGCTGATTATTATTTAAACAGCGGCCGTAAAATTATCATTATTATTGCTCCCGCTGCTTTTCTCTCTCCCAGCAGCGCAGTTTTGAATTTTTATGGCTCAGGCACATCCACGTTCCCATCCCGAACACGTGATTTGAATTGTTTTTGATTTTAAAATGAAAGAATATTCTATCAAAAATCTGGCTGGGCGGCATTTGATTGGGAGATAAGATATTGTTCTCCAATTTCTTATAATTAAAACTTTCACCGGTTTGAATAAATTTTTTTCGTACAATTGGATGGAGAAACAACAATTTTTTTTTTTTTTTTTTTTGCTTTTGTTGGCTTTATTAACATTAAAACTGAATAATTTAAGGTCAAATTATTCATTCAAAATTAATTTTTTGTGACTAATTTCACAATTTTTTTCTTTCATACTTAATTTTTATGAAAACTGTCATAATAATTTTTTTGAACATTTTTTTTCAATTTTTGTATTCAAATTTTTCGTTTTGTTTCCAAATCTCCCAAATAGGGGGCCACACAAATTAATGCACCTTCTTTACTCGGAACACACGCCGCTTCCGCTATTTCCTCGCAGCTATGCCGGTGGCCTCGGCTGGGAGCGAAATAAAATAATAAAACGTGTTCAAAGTGTAATTAGCTGGAGCATAGTGTTGCCAATTATCGCTAATGGAGTGCATTTCAAATACACACACGGCAGCCGCACGGCTTCCTCTTCTAATGACCTGATGCGTGGCCCGATAAGACCGACGCCGAACTCGAGAGCTAGAAGACCACTTTTGACACAACTGCCGAAACGGAATGCGAATTGAATTTGAATAATTAATTGCGAGTCCCTGAGAGGATCCATTAGTGGATAGTTTTTTCTTTTTAATTCCAGATGAGAAGGAAAGAACGAAAGATTTTTCGGTCGGGAATTATATTTCAAAAGAAGGCGCACCTGCCAGGTTTTTTTTTACAATTTAAATTATTCATTTGGGGAAAATCAAGATACGTCGCGGATCTCGCCTGTCTCCACTTGTGTAGATTATTAAAAATGTAAATTTCATCCGCGGAGGTACATTATGTATATTAAAAGTGCGTGTGTTTCTCCTTTGTTTTTCAATTAGCTGAATCCATATTTATATATGTATAGGTAAGAGAGGATGCGAAATTAGCATAACACATCATAATAAGCAACCGTGAATATCGTTTTTGTACGAGGAGCGATTTTTATCTGTGTGAAATAATTTCTAGTCATAAATTTTAAATATCAGTGTAAAAAATTGATTTAAAATTGTAGGAATATATTATATTAAATTTCTATTAGGTCTAAAAAACCTGCAATTTTGGAGTTTCTTAATTTTTGATTTTTTTTAAGATATAATTTTTTGTGCTATTTAACCTTATTTCTCTGCAACAACTATTTTATAATTTTCAGCATTTCTTTTATCTTCCGTACAAATTAATAGATTTAATTTAGGCCCAAATAAAGTAAAAAGGTAATTATTTGGTACTCACCCCTGCAGCGGGACAGCGTCCGTCGAGGACAGGCCCAGAAATGTATCCCAAATTCCTGTCGGTGACGCTGCCGTTGAAGCACATGTGGATGTTCTCGTTGAATTTGGTCTCGATGCTGCTCAAACTGAACACACACATGGCCGACTTGGCCTGCGGCTCGCTGGTGCTGCCCTTGCTGGGACCGAAAACGGCCACCAGCACCAGGGTGTCTGGATCCAGGCCAAAACTGGCGGCCAGGTCAGCGCCGGCGCGTGTCACCTTCGCGTCCTGCACCAGGTTGTAGATGAGGCCGCCGTCCTGCGACTGACACTGCAGGGTCACTTCGGTGTAGCTGTCGTAGTTGGCGTCGGTGATGCAAGTGCGCGCCAGACGCGTCACGTAGCCGTCCTCCTGGCCCGGAAGATGCGACTTCTTCTGCACGATCACAAAGTACGAATAGTCGCTTGCGTTGAAGCCGTAAACGTATCTGCAAAAATAAATAAGAGTAAATCAAAGTTTGAAAATATAAAAAAACTGTTTCTTATCCTTCATTAAACTTAAATTTTTTATATCTTTTTCGCTATATTCCTCAATAATAATTATAAAATATTTAATTATGATTGAAAAAACGAACCAGTTTTTTTTATAACTCGGATGTATAAGCAAAATTCGATCTAGTGGAGTTCAATATTTAAAATTTTGGCAACAATTTAACCTTCATTGTGATTTCTATCACATTTAAAATCAAACTGCTTGTGCTGCCATCTGCAGTCTGTGACTGAAAAATTTCAATTTCTGATTATTTTTTGTACTCACTTGATTAAAAAGTGGTCTCTGTACTTCACATCGATCTCTAAGCTGGACTTCCTGGAGAAGGTGTCTTCAGTGAGGCTCAGATTGTACAATTCTCTGCTGGCGATGGCAGGCACATCGTGTCTGTATTCTCCGTTGTTGGTGAAGGTGGTGCCAATGTAGAGCACGTTGGAAGCGCCCCACGGGTTGTACTTTTCGGGCCCGATGAACGCGAACGTGGAAAGGTGCTCGTCGTTGGCCGCAATGCTCTTGGCCACGAACTCAGGCTCCCTAGACAAGTTGGAGACCAGGTACTTCTGGCAGGCACCCTGTTTGACCGAACCGCACGCGATGAGGGTGCCCCTGTCGTAGTCGAGCACCAGGATTTTGTTGAAGTTGTCCGTCAACTTTGTTTCAATGTCAGTCGAAGTGCAGCCGGAAGCGTGGCATTGCACGTTGTCCTCGTGAGGACCTGTGTGCACCACGACATCCTGGTGCAGATCCTTGCCGTCAAGCTGCACCAGGCGGTTGGTGCCGGCCGCGAACACCCTGCCCGTCGCCCTGTGCACCACCATGTGCGAGAAGCGCGTCGGGGCGTCGTCTTTGCCCCCGCTTGAAGGGTACTGGGCGTAAACGTGACGCACCGGCGGTGGTGGCGGCGGCATTGGCGGGTGCGTCGTGGCGGCGCTAGTGTCGCCGACCGTTGGAGGCCACCACGTGGTCAGCAGGAAGCCCAGCACGAGCAGCAGCCGCGGCGGCGGCGGCGCTGACGCTGGGCGGTTCAGGCGGCGCGCAGCCATCTTGTGTAGTGCGGACGAAATTTCGACTCCTATTTCACCTGTGAACAAAAGAAGAAGAAAGTTTAAAAAAGTTGCAACACCAAATGAAAATGTTTTCAATATGAATAAACTAGAATAAATTTAAGTTGCTAAAAACTTAAATTGCAAAAAAAAAATTTTCATTAAGGAAGCTTTGTTATAGCTTAAACAGATTTAATATCGTGATAAAATGACAATTTATTCTAAAATAATTATTGATTTTTAAGAGAATAGAAAATCCAGATTTAAAATCCTTTAAAAACATCAATATTTGAACATAAGTGAACAAAAAATTTGGAGAAAATAATACAATAAAGATGTATTAAAATTCATTCCTAAAACTTATAATAAAGGAATCAACTGATATATTAAAATGAAATTTACTCCAATTTTTGCGAGGAAATTTTAAATAAGAAATTTGCAAAAGAACTTATTGGAATTTACTGTAATTCTTATGATTTTTTTTTTAACATTTTAATGCTTTATATTGATCACGACCCCTATGGGGATTCTCTTTTGATTGACGTATTAATTTTGTTTTTCACTTGGATGATCGCCGTCGGGCGCTGCCGCCCTCAAATACAAGGAAGCAGCAGTGCGAATTTGTTTATGAACTCTCGCATTTCACTGCAGGGCTGCTTGTTAAAATAAAATTACCGCGGCGTGAAGTGAAAATGCGTATCATTAAATCGGTACGGTGCAAGAGAAGGCAAAAGTCAAGAGCAGAAAGATACATCAAAAGTGTATATCTCATTTCAGCACGGCGCCGCTGTATATATGTATAACACAATAAAGCGAGAGAGGAGGGTGCGATTTTCGCCCGGCCAGCCGAGCAGAAGTCATTTTGCTCAAACGAAGCCAATTTTCGCGTCGGATTGCGAGAGTGAGCGAGGCGAAAATGCCAAGAGCAAAAGCGACGGCTGGTGAATCGTCAAAAATGCTTATCAGCGCGTTATTCATTAGAAAGAAACGTACAGCCGGGGTTTTTTTTTCTTTGAAAATTCGCAGCTCTCTCACGACGGAGTCTGCAAAAACAAGAATAAGAGCTGTAGACAAGGGCACGCCTGGCTGCTCTCGCAGAAATCCTTCTTTCTCTCTTTCTTCGTTTGGGCAGAAAGAGCTGCTGGGGTGTGACAGTGGGCGCCGAAAGCGCCTGCGCCCCTTTCAATGGCAACCACACACATGCGAGGGGTTGCTGCCTCCACTCTCCCAAATGAAATGCATCTCGGCTGCGATTTTGATCTGGAGCGGGCGGGTGAGCGAGCGCATGAAGCACTGCCAGCGTAGCCACTTGTGCCGCGTGTTTGTGCACCTCCTTTTCGGAGCCCCCCACGGACGGGAACGGCGGCTGGAAAAGTATTGATTGGAACGTCCGCAAATTGCACCGATTTGCGACGGCCGGCGCTAAAAAAATGTACATCAATGAAATGCTCAGACCAGCTTGGATGTTTCATTTCACTTTATTTAATTTGATAAATTAATAAATCAATAAATCTTTAAATTCCTAAACAATAAATTAGGCATTTGTAAAAGCCGTTTCGATTATTGATTAAACAGTTTTTTTAAAAGGATAAAAATTCCGTTTGATGTTACTTCCATTAATAGGTATATTGATAATTAAATCCAATTTTAAAAAGATAATGAATGAATCACTTAGTTATTGTGCACAAAATTGCTAAATAATGAATCATTTCGGGGGAAATATTTTCTTGAAGTTGTGAATTTTGCTGAATGCTGTCAATATCAAAATTAGAAGAAATTTTTTTTTCATTAGAATATCTATTATTTGATCAGACAAGTTTTAATTAGAGATAACAATAAAAAATAAGTCAACCGAGACTCACTTTGACGTCTGCGACTTTTTTTGACACGGAAGTATTTTGCCGAATTCTTGCTAAGTGGCATTTTGCTCAACAATTGAATAATTTGCCCCATTTAATATATTCTGCGTCAATTTTAAAAATTAACGCAACAACAAAAAGTATTATTTTAAATTCAAAATTTATACAAAAACACGTGAAATCGATTTATTTTTAAAATCTGAACTTAAATGCAAAATTAGTGAGCAAAATTTTATCCTTATCATTCTTGCATTTTGTTTTACACTTAATTAGTCTTGAACAATGCAGGGAAAAACAACACAATTTTGTAATTATCTCTAATCAAAAGAAAAAAAATCAGATGGTTTTAGCGAAACACTCTCTAATGAAATAGTTCAAAATTTCTGCAAAGGTGCTACTTGTGCAATATATTTCCTCCACAAAGGTAGTCAAGGAATGTCATCCCTTTGTATACTATGAATTCTAATATCCTTGTACACTTTCCTACAATAGGAAATTGCACCTGACAATCAGCTGCTTCTCAGAACTCGGTCTCTCTGTGCAATTTACGTATATTCTACTCATAGGATGTGAGTTTGCTGAACCCCCTTCACGGAGAGACTCTGTGTCCGATCATACTTCACTTTTATACGATCTGATCGCCTAAAAACGACACAGTGAAAAAAATCGTACAGCGTTTACGATCTGGTAATCGGACAGAGCGTGCAAGCTGGATTGTATAGCGCGTTCGGCGTGCTCGCATAAGCTATACGAGCGAAAGCCTACTATTTTGTCCGATCAGAGATCGGACAAAACAGCATAGCACTCAATCGGCTGCTCTTTACGATCTTTGATCGGACAAACTAGAGGATCTTTGCTTGTATAAGCTTTACAATTTAGATCTTCTGTTATTATTTTTATTTTTCATTTCATATTTATTTTTATTTTAGGAATTCAAGTTATTAACTAATACAAGTTCAAATAGAGTTTCATAATTTTTATTTAGGAGTACAAAGTACAGAATATAAAATTTATTTGTTATACATAGTCAAAAATCAAATTAACAAATAATGACACAAAAGTTTGACAAGTTTCTTCAGCTTGTCGTCATGCTCAAGAATTTTATGTGACGTATTATTAGTCTCTTTTACAATAAATTTTAAAAAAATGCTACTCTGGCTCATTTTTTATGCTACTCAATTCTGGCATAATTCCTTTAAATTTAACAATATCATATCAAGCAAAATTTGCGAAATTCAAATTTCAAAGAAAGAAAATGGACTCATCACTCTTAAAAGGTTGATCCTCAGTTTTAGTATCCTGGTGGGGTGAAATTTTGATGTTGTCCATCCCGGCCGGATGCAGTTTAGTTCTTGTGGTTTGCGAATCAGTGAAAATTTCTGCAACATTTGAAATTGACAAATTAAATTGCTATAATGATCATTTTAGGCATTGCTGTACCAAAGCATTTATGAATTAATTTCCTAATAGAAATGCAAACAAGAAGACACCTCACCTTTTTTAAAGTTAGTTTCTTTGAGCATTCTTGTTCCAATTTTGAGCCGCTGCGTAGCACTGCATTCAGGGAGGACTCATAGCTTGGCAGCAGCTGAATTAACTCAAGAGATTTTTCTGAAAACACAGATGGAAATCGAATTTCAAATACAAGACCTTTTAATTCAATGTGTTTTAATTTACCTTCAGTGCGTGGAATTTGAATTCGACCTCAGGGGCAGTTTTCTTTCTAAATTGTTTGAAATTTTACAAACTTAGGAGCAATACATCCGCACAGGTCCAGGTCTTCTCTCCAACTGACGCCAAGCCAAAGTTTTGGAGGGAAGCTTCGTAAAAACGACCGTTGGCTATTTTTGAAAAGGAATTTCTCGAAAGTTGCTGATAAACAAGCGCGGTTCTCTTGGGTGCGTTCCGATCAGACCAGAAATTTTGTCTGATCGCTGATCGGACACTCCGTTCATTCACGCTGATCGTCTCATGTAGAAGAACTGGGTCGCATATTTTGTCCGATCAGTGATTGTCAGGACTATTCTTTACGATCTAGATCGGACAATTTATACAATCACTTTTAGGTGATCAAAAATCTCACTTTACTTCCGATCAGATCGGATACATTATACGATTGATCGGAAGGTTTTGCTCCATACGATCACGCTCGGACATCCAGTCTCTCCGTGTTGAGTGTCTCTACAAAGAGGAGTTATGCAACCACCTCGTCACCGACGCCGTAACAGTTGTCTACACACACACACCCCACTTTCCATAATTTCCACCGGAGAGAGCTCTGGATTTATAGACGAGCTTCTCTATCGCTCGTTTCGAGTTGGACGAAAATAAATAAAATGCACCATAAAGCACAAGAGTTGAAAAATATCGCCGGCGAGTCCATATTTCGCTTGTCTCCGTCCAAATGGGCCGTAATAACGCTGCTGCGCCCTCCGCTGCTGCTTTATGATTATTGCTCGGCAGAGCGGCTTTGTTTAAAAAAAGGGTCACAGCTCCGAGCAGGGAGTTAAGGTTGAGTGACCACTGGGGAGATGTACATGTTTTGGATCGGCCGGCCCTTTCGGTTTAACGAGATCGCTCTTTGACCGATTTTCTGCACCGCCGGCCTTTCGAGAGCACAAAAATCCGGCAGTTTCGAAAATGGGCTTTTTTTTCAAGTACCGAGAACGAAAATAACAATCTCGGGCGAAATCTCAGAAAGGCAGGGCGGTGCCTTGATATGCGGACATATACAATAATGCACAGTTTTTTCCTCCTGCGCCGACAAACTCTTATCATTTATTAAATATTTTGTTTGCCAAAGAGGCTCAACCTCATCATCCTTTCTTTGTACCTGCGCTCATTAACCATTAGCGGAGCCGCTTTTTGTTTCGCGCGGCTGTGAATAGAATGGATGTCATTGTCAGATCCTTCCTCTGTCGCTTATCGACGAGCCATTGTCATACACTCGAGGGATATTACAACGTTATCGCCGAGGCTGCGGCTGAGATTATTAAATATCCGGCTATTAGAGTGGAAATATATGTGTCATTCATCCGCGCGAGAGAGCTCAGACCGCATAATAAGCACGTCAAATGCCATGTGAGATGCTAATATTAATTAGAGGGAAAAATAAGCGAGTGTCACGCATATTTATTTTTAATAATGAAGCGAGGCATAATTATTCATGCAATAGAAAA